CTGGATGAACCGATCCCACTGTACGAGGCCAAAGTTTCTATGGAAATTGTTCAGAAGAATCAAGCCAGAAAAAGACAAGTCATCCAGTTCTGACAGGCAATCTCCTGATTTCTGAGCCTGTGGGAGACAAAGAAACGTAATATACTTGTGGAGTGAATCAGTGTACACTTTCAGACAGTTCTGTAACCAGAATTTAAACATCCTTTTACCTCACATAAATGGTCTGAGCACCACAGCACCTGCAACTTCGGGGTTTTTTAATCCACATGAGCAGAATGTTCCCATCAGCAGCTTCCAAAGAAGCAGCCTTGACCTACAGATCTTGTCTGCCCTGCCCCAGTTACAAACATCAGTAACATCTACAGGCAAACCCAGCTGCTGTTGGTTTTCAACCATAAGAAAAAAAAAGGGAAAAAATTGGTGGTTTTTATCAGCCTTTCTTTCTCCAGCTGCGGGCAGTGCCTTTCCTCAGACTTGTTCACCAGCCACTTTATTTCCTTAGAACACTTTCCTAGAGAGAAGCAGTACCTGGAGGGCAGAGCCTGTTTTGCCCGGTGCTTTCTCCCGGCACTTTCCACTGGAAGGACATTCCCCATCGGAGCCAGTCCCTGCCAGGGCTCCGGGCACAGCAGGGGCTGCAAGGCCACAAGTGCCGGGGCTGCCCCGGGCCGGGTCTGGGCAGCTGGGGGTGTCCAAGGGGGGCCGGGGGTGGCCCTTTGTGACACGGGCACCTTCCAGGGCCCTTTGTGACACGGGACATGGGGGTGCCCAGAGACCCTTGTGACATCACAGAGCCCTGCCCTGCCCACGGGGGTTTGAGGGGCACAGAGCGCGGGGGTGCCCTCAACCACAAGAGCCCCTCTCCAAGGAGGGAGCAATTCCCTGCAGAGGACAACAGAGATGGATGAGAACAGGAGGAACTCCAACTCCCAGTGCTCCAGCCCCTTGTTCAGCTGGCTGGAAGACGAGTCACTCAGCGACCACTGGCTGGGGACAGTGGGTGAGTCAGCCCTGCCACTGTCAGGGACTGAGGGGGGGTCCTTCGGCCACGGGGATGACGACTGGAATTTCGACACGGATCAAGACCTTTCCCAATTCGGAGATGTTACCGAATGGGAAGAAGATGAGACAGA